CTTCAAGTATTGCTCCACCATATCAGTAAAGATCGCCATCATGCATCGCTGACAAGTTACTGCAGCATTACAAAGGCCAAATGACTTTCTTCTAAAAGCAAATGTGCTGAATGGACAAGTAAACGTGGTCTTATGTTGATCCTCCGGTGTAATAGCAATCTGATTATATCCAGAATATCCATCCAACAAGCAATAATCCTCTTTCCCCGCCAATCTGTCCAACATCTTATCGATAAAGGGGAGAGAGAAATGATCTTTTCTGGTGGCCTTATTGAGCTTCCTATAGTCCATGCATATCCTCTAGCCTGTTACAGTTGTGGGGATTAACTCATTCTTTTCATTCTCTACAACAATAATCCCCCTCGTTCTTAGGAACACACTGGACTAGACTCACCCATGCATTGTCAGAGATTGGATAGATTATCCCCACATCCAACCACTTGATTATCTCCTTCTTGACCACTTCTTTCATGATCAGATTCATCCTTCTTTGTCCCTCTATAAACCCTTTTTTGTAATCTTCTAAGAGAATCTTGTGCATATAAAATGAGGGACTTATACCCTAGATGTCCGCTATAGTCCAACCAATGGCCCCTTGGAATTCTCTTAAAACCATGAGCAGCTTCTCCTCTTGATCTTTTGTCAATACAGTAGAAATAATGACTGGAAGGGTGGAAGCTGCTCCTAAGTAGGCATACCTCAAATGCGGTGGCAAGGGCTTACTGGTTTTTTGCTTGATGGCTGAGATGGCTTTTGTTCTCGTTCAGCCAAGTCCAGAGACTCAAACTTCCTTGTGTAGCTCGGCATTGTTGAATTGGCTTCCAACCAATCTATTTGTTCAACAACTTCTTCCTCATTCTCTTCAAGGTTGTCTTGCTCAAACTTTTCTGCCACCAAAGAGTCAACAACTGATATGGTTGAGCACTCTTCAATCTCATTTGGGAACTTCATTGCCTTGAACACATTGAATGTGACCTGCTCTTCTTGTACCCTTATGGTTATCTCACCTTTTTGCACATCAATGAGGGTGCGGCCTGTTGCAAGAAATGGTCAAGAATGATGAAGTCAGCAGAAAAAATGAACTTGTCCACCTTCACTAGCACATCCTCAATCTTTCCTTCGGGAAGTGCAATAGATCTGTCTGCGAGCTGCAAAGACACTGTGGTAGGCCTTGCTTCTCCGCTTCCCAACTTCTTGAAAATGGACATCGGCATCAAATTTATACTAGCTCTCAAATTACATAATGCCTTACCAAAGAATTGATTTCTAATGGAGTACGGGATAGTGAAACTTCCTGGATCCTTTAGTTTGGGAGGGAGTTTGTTTTGCAAAATTGCACCGCATTCTTCAGTCAAGGCCATCGTCTCAAACTCTCCAAGTCTGCGTTTTTTTGTAACTAAGTCCTTCATGAACTTGGCGTAGTTTGGCATCTGTTCTAGGGCCTCAACCAATGGTATGTTGATGTGTAGCTACTTCAAAACATCTAAAAACTTGCGAAACTGCCCATCTTGTTGATGTCTTTGAAAGCGTTGAGGAAATGGTGGAGGTGGTATGCTGTTACTAGTTTTTGTCGCTCCAGAATGCTGAGGAAATGCTGTGGCATTCTGCAGTGCAGAATTTGGTTGCTGATTCCTCAACTGCTCTCCTTGTGGCTGAGTTTGATTCTTCTCCTTTTGAATTAAAGTGGGCTCTGTTTGCCAGTCTGGGGTCTTGTCTTTGGCTCCAGTTCTTTTTCACTCCTTAATGAAATAGCCTTGCACTGTTCTTTCCCTTCTCTTCTTGGATCTTCGGTGTTGCTTCGGAGAGAACCTTGAGGCCGGTTGCTCAACGCATTAGCGATCTGCCCAATCTGATTTTTTAAGCTCCTTAATGTTTCATCATGACTTTGAATCCTAGCATCATTCCTTGCAATGTATTCTTTAAGCAAATTCTCCAAGGAGCTAGATTGATCCGCGACTTGTGCTCTTTGTTGTTGCGGTGGATACCCTAGTGGATGTGTGGGTCTGTGATAAGCATTGGCTCTACTAGAACTTGCTCCTTGATTACTCCATGCCAAGTTTGGGTGTTGCTTGAACCCTTGGTTGTGAGAATTAGGATAAGAATTGTTGTTCATGTTGAAATTGGCCACATAGCAAGCGGAGGCTGAATTGGACGAGCAATCTTCATACAAGTGACTCTCTCCACAGTAAACACATGAGACACTAGCTGATTGCACAGAATTTACACCCGCCGGTGTGTTCATTGTTTTTATTATATTCGTCAAGGATGACACTTGAGCCGAGAGTGCAGTGATGGCATCAACTTCATGAATTCTGGCTGCCTTCCTAGCATTGAGTCTCTCGGTTGGCCATTGAAATTGTTATTGGCCATCATTTCCAAGATCTCGTAGGCTTCATTGTAAGACTTGGCCAAAATAGCTCCACCAGCTGCGCCATCAATTATAGTCCTTGTTTGCCCATTGAGGCTATTATAAAAGGTCTCCATTTGAATCCAATGAGGGAAATGAGGGATCCCATGATAAGGGCATTTCCGCAATAGCTCTTTGAATCTTTCTCATGCTTCATACAGAGATTCCTCATCCACTTGTTGGAATGAGGTAATGTCATTTATGAGCTTGGCATTCTTGGTTGGAGGGAAGTATTTCATGAGGAACTTCTCCGCCAAATCGTTCCATGTCGCTACTGAATCCGGTGGCAAAGAATTCAACCATGCTCGAGCTCTATCCCTCAAGGAATAAGGGAATAATTTCAACCTCAGAGCTTCCTCTGTCACTCTTGGTAACTTAAAGGTATCACTAACTTCCATAAATAGCCTGAGATGGAGGTGAGGGTCTTCAGTTGACATCCCACTAAATTGCCCCACGGTTTGGAGCATTTGGCACATCACTGGCTTAAGCTCAAACTGAGGCGCCTGAATCTCTGGCCTCACTATGTCGGGGTTAAGCCATGTAACATGGGCACAACATACTCTCTAATGGCCCTATCCCTGTCATCGGCCACAACAGTAGCAACCACATTTAAGTTGACCGGATTATTTCTATTGACATTCTGCCCATTGTTTCTGGCTGCCCTTTCTGCCATTTCTTCCACTACTGCTAAACCTTGTTGCTCCATTCTCCTAGTTCGGAATGTTCTTTCAATTTATGGATCTAAGGGCAACAATTCTAAGTCTCGTTGTGGATTCATGCAAAGGGTTTATAACCTGCAAAAATTAAAAGCAAACTGAATGAGAATAAAGTAAACAAATGCAAAACAAATTGACTTTTACAAATACTTTTAATGATGTCAATACCCGGCAACGGCGTTAAAAACCTGTTGCGTGATTTTTATGCTCGCAATTGCACGTGTCGCAGACAAGTAATAAAGTATACAGAGTACGGATATCGTCCCACAGAGAATGAATCACCAAGTGTAAATGCAGAAATCAACTAGTTTACTCGTTAAGAATGATAAAAAGTTGATTGTTTAGAAATTACTCAATGTTTTTAAATGCAGAAATGTAAAATGAAATGTAAGAAAAGATTAACCAGAAGATCAAGAATGTTAAAATGGAGTGCATACAGTGAAGTAAATCAGCTAGACCTACTAATTTCTCCTTAGTTGCAAAGACAGAGAATGCTGCAAGAATGCTATAGCATAAATGTTTTGTTAACAGAAACTCATTTATTGTGCATAAGATTCTTCCGAAGTCTATGTCTACAGATTCCTCAACCATTTTCAGCATATTCCTATGTGAATTTACCTTACTAATGCAAATTAAGCTCGGATTTCTTTACATTATGCAAGATGAACAATATATTTCTATATCATTCACAAATCAATAAACTTAAAATATGATTATTGAACTTGCATCATTTATGTTAGATTTAACTAAAATTAATCTTTTCAGTATTAATCTTAGTCTTGTATTATATGATTGATGGCCAGTCAAAGACAGAAATAAGCATTAAGCATACATAGATAAACAAGAAATAGAATTAATCAACATTCCTTAAGCAACCATCATCCTTACAACCTCGATTCCATTAGCAGATCTAGCTTAACAAATTAGTTCATAATGGTAATTACAAGAATAAGATTTCCAGAGTAATCCATGTCTTAAGTAATATAAAAAATAATAAAAGAATCAAACTAATAGAAAGAAGAATTGAGGAGCTAGATCTTGGATCTTCTAGAATTTCTCCATGTCCTTCCCTTTGGATCCTCCTCTCTGTAGCTCTCTCTTTTGAATTTTTTTCTTCTTTCTCTCATGTTCTGGTACTTGGTTTTCTCTCGGTACTGTCCTCCTTTTCTTTCCTTCTATTTTTTTTTCTTCTTGTACTTGGTGGCTGCCTTTCTCCTTCAGAAAGCACTTCCTTCTTAGGGCAACAAAAGGGCTGACATGTCAATTGATAAGGGTTGAAGTAGTCCACACTACTGTATAGCTCAATCAGCTCACATGGGTTTTTTGTCATTTTCCTCTAGGTAGTGTACTGATGTCATACCATTTGCCAGCTGCACTCAGAATGCTGCAGCAGAATGCTACTGCTTTCTCCCTGCAATTTGCAAAAATCACAACTTAGGCATATTTCAACCTCTTTTTGATTCAAATCACTCCTTAACCCGAAAGTCAGAATTTAGCAAGAAAAAATGCAAAACCAAAAAATCTAAGTTAAAACACATAAGAAACAATGAAATACACTCTTGGCTAAGCCAACTTTAAGCTAAAAATGCATAAGATAACTCTAATTTCTTAGAGTTATCACACCCCCCAAACTTAAAGTATTGCTCGTCCTCGAGAAAGACATAACAAAAACATAAACGAAAGTTAAAAACATCAATGAATCAAAAGAAAATATCAATGAATCATGATTCTTGATCTATCTACCAAACACATTTTATTTATAGAGTACAAATTTTTTTTTTTTTCTTTAGGAGTAACTGAATGGCTGCAATAGAAAGAGAGCTAGTAATGATCTTTAGTTACTTAAAAACTCATTAGATTTGATTTTTTCGATGCAGCCTCTAAATGAAACCGGCTATTCAGAAGTCAGATTTGGCGCATCTGATTTATTCCTGCGCTGCAGTGTCGCAAGAAAGTTGCATAATCAGAGCTGCTTGTATATGATAGAAAATGATGGTGAATTGCATTATGGCATCATTGTCTGGAAAATACCTTCCGGGAAAAAGGCACACGCTGGAGTTGTATATGTTTTTACTTTTATTTCAGCCTCTTTTGCGGTTCTTCTAATTGTTTTGACATCCATATGCCATTCAAACATCAGCAGGTGCAAAAGTTTGAAACAATCTTAAGCTATCAAACAGTTTTCCACTTGCTTGACTAGTTTGCTTGTGATGTGTGTAAGAATCAAGTGTTCCTTGGTTGGAAAAAAAAAAGCACTTAGTGCCCTTAATGATGGAGGATTCAATCCTAGCTCGGGATGAATGTTGGCGGCATGCTAAACACGGAAGTAGGATGAGCATGATGTTTTCAGTGGCGGACGTCGAGTAAAGCCTTGAGAACCTGCCCTTGGAAGAGGACGATAGCTGGAAATGGCTGCTAATCATAAGAGCATCACTAGTCTTACTCTAGCCGTTGATGCATTGCTAGGCAGAGATAGCCAATCCCACTCTCTCAACTGTTGCAATGTCCTTCCTGGCATTGTAGGTATTGCATATTAAAAAAAAAACAAAAAAAACAAAAAACAAAAAACAAAAAAAACAATGAAAATTGGAAGTAGGAGTTTATAAATGCCGTCCACTGAATCCTACAAAAGCACTTGGAAGCAACACACCTATATTTTCCTGTTGGGATATTTATATATTTATACCATGTGTTTTAGGTTTATTCAAAATTTATGCCTTAAATTTTTAATCTCATTAAATGTATACCTTCAAATTAGATTAATATGCAAAGTTATACTTTATCTCGATTAATAATTGAGTTTGACCTTTAAAATGACCAAACTATTCTTAAGGGAAAAAAAAAGAAAAAAAAAAACTAAAAACTTTTAAATATTACAAAAAAAAATTAAAAATTAAAACACAAAAAAACCCATTTCAATGATATTTTGCATATTTTTGAGGTTAAAACGTAGGCTTATATAGTTTTTTCTTCTTTTTCTATCTTTTTATTCAAGGGTATTTTAGGTATTTTCAAAGCTGAAATCGAGGGTTAATTGTGTAAAAAAAAATTAAAAATTAAAACACAAAAAAACACATTTCAATGATATTTTGCATATTTTTGAGGTTAAAACGTAGGTTTATATAGTTTTTTCTTCTTTTTCTATCTTTTTATTCAAGGGTATTTTAGGTATTTTCAAAGTTAAAATCGAGGGTTAATTGTGTAAAGGTACAAATTTAGATATTATTATACATATACTAAAAGAAAGGACGGGATTCACTGTTCATGCTACAGTGTTATGAACAGTGTCTTCCCGTTTTAGCCCTGATTTTTCCTTCTGATGAAATTTTAATTATCGTCATGTCTTGAAGAAAGGACGGGATTCACTGTTCATGCTACAGTGCTATGAACAGTGTCTTTCTCGTTTTAGCCCTGATTTTTCCTTCTGATGAAATTTTAATTATCGTCATGTCCTGAGAGTAAAATGACAATATTACCCTTCACTAGAGATTTTTGTGTGCGTATTTGCCCTGACCATTTTAGTCATTTACTGTTGCTTCTGCTTATATCGTTTGCCCGTGATTCATTTGCTTCATTTCACTTTTATCTGTAGCCTTTTCTCTCTCTTTCTCCTCCATTTCTTTCCTTTCGTAATGTTCTAGATACTTCCTTCATCGAGACAGAGCCTGAGTTTTTTCCCCTATTTTCCGTTTGTTGATTTCCACCATTTTTCCATTATTTCTTTTTGTTGTCATTTACGCCTTTCGTTGCTTTGCTCTTGCAATCTTCAATTTTTTTTTTAACTGAGATTGAGGATTTTTTCTTTTTTCCCCTTTTCTCCGTTTGTTTTCCTCTGCAACCTTTTAGATCCGTTTTTCTTTTTTGCATATTTGGAGCGATTACGGTTATCTTTTTTTTAGGTTTGTTTGTTCCTATGATTTTCTACATTTATGTTTATCTGCCTTTGTTTCTAGATCTACTTTTTCTCCTTTTGGTTTTTTCCTTCTGAAACGCTTTAGATTTCTCTATTTTTGTAAATATTTGTTCATATTTCTTCGTTTGTCATATTTGTTCTTTTTTCAAAGTCTTAGATTTTTTCCTTCTCGCCAGATCTAGATCTGCTTATATCCTTCCGTCCCTGCATTGAAGGCTTATATTTTTCTTTGGGTTCGTTCGTTTCTATGATCTTCTACATATATGTTTATCTTTACCGTTTCTGGATCTATATTTTTATATTTATTTTTTCTTCCTCTGCAATCTTTTAGATTAGTCTATTTTTCTAGGTTTTTTGTCCGATTTCTTCGTTTTCTAAATATCTTCTTCCTGCAACTCTCTAGCCTTTTTTTCTCCCCTCACTAGATTTATTGCGGCTGCATCTCTTTTTTTTGTATATATATATATATATTTGTTGATGTTTTATATTACATTTTGTCTCATCGGTTGTACATGCATGTTAATTTTTGGTTTGATTACGTTATTTGTTATTATCGTACATTATTTTTCTTGAATATTTCGGTTTTCATTTCATGCGTTTGTTCATATTTTTCAGATCTGTGTTTTTATTTTTTTCCCTTTTTTGAATACTGGCCTGTTTATTTTAGATCTACGTTCGGGTTTTCCTTTTTTGATTCCTTTTTTTTATTTGCCAGTCGATTATTATATTAGTGAGGAAAAAGAAAAATCTTTTTTATAATTTCATAATTGTTTACTATTTTTTTTTGTTTTGTTTTGGGCTCCTACTTTTAGTATATGTATAATTTTTGTTTACGTATATTAATTTGATTAAGTGTCTAATATTTGTTGTCATTTTAATGTAATAACATTTATAATAAACTTCTCATCTGCCACGTGTATCTACAACTTTTGCGTTCTGTGTAATATCTAACTCAGAAATAGCTGCCGGTTCTTTATTGCTTACATTTTGCGGTGCTCTTCATGCAGTGTGACGTCTGTTACTAATGAATCATTACTTTTATTGGTTTCTGTTTGCAGGGATTTGTATTCGATATTAAGCAAGACACTGGTAACTTTTTCTATATATACTGTATGTTATCTTTTTACTCTTTCTTTGTCTACGTTCTTCAGCTACTATCATCCATCATATTCTGTTCTCTTTGTTTTTCCCGTCTTTAAAGACCATAAAAACACTACTCATCTCTTACTAATCTTATCGCCTTCTTTAAATATCTGCGTTCTATCCCTGCTGCTCAGTAATTTTCGTTGCTTTCTTTGATCTATCATTCTACCCGTTGTCTGTTCAATCAGGTAATCATTTTTTCAAGTTAATTTGGTTGATTTGTTTTAGAATATTAATTTATAATGTTATATCTATTGGTTATATGGGATGTTTTATACTGCACTTTATCTTTTGCCTTTTCTATTTTACTCTCAGTTACTTACCTCTGTTCTAATTTCATTAACTAATATTTTATATTCACATAATTTCCTAAATCTCCTTAAGATATAACGTTTGGCTGTATCAAAAATACGCGTTTTGATATCAGAGTATTTTATTCCCTCATGGTTATGATGATGTTATATTTCATTTGTTGTTAATATGTGCAGAGTAATTGTTACTAAAAATATGGCTACTGTTGATGTTGCCCTTATTATTTTGAACTTATGCCAACATATTTTATTTTGTCTCCTGTTTTAGTTTTATTATATATTTATATTTATAAAATCTATTTTTGTCTATGATACTATTTTGTATATATCTGTTCGTTTCCTCTATTCTTCACTCTTTTTCTTCTTCTCTGTTCTTCACTCTTTTTCTTCTTCGTTGTATTTTTGATAAGTTACTGTTATTTTTACTTTACTAACTGAGACGTGATATTTACATAGTGTCCTAAATTTTGTTACAATCAAATGCCATTATTTATCAAAAGCTCGGTTTTTTTATATTCAAGCATTCTGTCCTCCTCCGGTTATGATGATATTATATGTCATTTTTTGTTAACATATGTTGCGTAATTGTTATTACAGATATATTTATCATTGATGTTGCCCTTATTGTTTCAGAGTTATAGCAACATATTCTACTTTCATAAACTCCTTAATAATATGTTTACTGGCCATGTATATTGCCGGACTTTTTAAAATTTACTTATAGTACATAGTATTGACAGCAAATAGATTTTGTTCAACAATTTATTGCTATTCTAAGTTATACTTTTCTGTCTTACTTATGGCATAAATTTTTGGATAATATAGCTAGTAGCCATGTGTATTGCCATATTTTGTTTCAATTACTCAAGGTATATGTTGTTTCCAACAACTGAATATAACCTGAACCAAATGTATATACAAATTTCTTATCTACGGCATAAATTCCTTGGTAAGATAGGGGCCAGCCGTGTATATTACTGCATGTCATGTATATAACTTCATTTTATACTTTCCTGTTTTCCTTATCTGTGCTGGACAACTTTTCTCTTCCAGTTTACTTTTGACTATTCACTACTATTTATACTTTAGTCACTGATATTCATTGACTGTACTTGGCTACTCTTCATTCATAATCCAGATTTGCTCATTCACTGCTATTTCTCTCCCGTTGACTACTGTTTTGTACTTATAAATTGCTCTCAGCTTTACTTTAAAATAATCTAACTTCCTTATACAAATTATGCTTTTTATATTCAAAAAATATATTCTCATACTGCTTTTATTTTTTTCTTATCATGTCTCGGGAAATAAGCTACAAGTTTGTTTGAAGAAACATTACAAGAGGGAATCCCAAAATTCCTTGCAGGGGCATGAAATAATTCACAATTCCAAATTTATGATGTAATTGAAATATTAATTTGTATATTAATTTGTTTCTTATTCTGTTGTATTTTTTCTCAGAAAGCCCTAATGGCTTATCTTTCTTTCAAAGCATGTAAAATAGTATATGTAATTTCTTATATTTATATTTTGTTTATTTTTTAATTCACTATTTATCAACCATTAAAGGACCCAAAGTGAGAAATAAAAACAGGAACCAAAAGAAGGACATTATGGCAGTCCAAAGAATTTGCCCCGAAACAGCAAGGAAAAGAGCTATCTAATCTGTTTGTACTAAATAAAGCTGGAACCGTCCAACACATTTGTTTTTAAGATAATAATATCATCTAACATCAGACAATTTTGTCCCCTTCTATTTTGAAAACCGAATTTTTCCCTTTTCTATATTTTACTGGCTTTATTTTTTCCCCTAAATATGTTTTAGTTATTTTTTCCTGAATTTTTTCATCAGTTAATATATATGTGTTGCGTATTAATATAATTAGGTCAATTTTAAAATATAGTTGTTCTATTTTTCCCCATATATTTTTTCCTTAACATATTGTAACCATTATGTGGTAATAAATTTTTTTTCCTAATGTGTTATTTTCAAACAGATTTGATAATTTTCTATCTCCATATTATACTGCGACAGTTGAATATCAATCGTTACCTGCTCTATCTTCATAGCAAAGTATCGTTTCTATATAAAGTCTGATTTGGTTAGCTTCGATTTGCTATTTACACAGCATTCCAGGTATTTTTACAATTTTATGTATTTGTTATTTAAATATTTATTTATGAAATTAGACAAGGTTGCTATCGATAATACTAAATATATTTATTTACTTAATCTATAATAAAATATACTTACTTTACTTTACAATACAATATTGGAGGATACTATATATGGTTATAATCAATTAATTTTTTCTCATCTGTTATTTATGATATTATTATTAC